AAAACCCCATGCAGCATAGTTCTCAGATTTTTATTAAGATCAGGTGTATAAAGTACCTTTACATTCTGTGCCGTGTTGCTCGGCTTCAGTAGAAAACCATCGGCTGGGAACGTAGTATTTCAACGAAAACTTAAAAAACATAAATATAATATCCCACTTTTTTCTCTGATTCATGGCTAAGGGAAGAAACAAGTCATTAGTCTCTCAGGCAACTAACATTGAGCCTGGGTTTTACACACGGTTACAGTTCTCATCATTCAGTATAGGTCATATTTTCAAAACTTGATGCTGTTTGGTAATTTGTTGTGTAAACTGAGTTCCTTGGTTTTTGAAAATTTACAAATGGTCAGCGGATGAATTAACAAATAAAATCTGAATAGCCCTCATATTCGATAAATTAAAATTCTAACATGTCTCCGAGGCCTCACTTGTCTGCTACGCAGCCGCTTTTTTGTGGGGAGAAGCATTGCGGACTGGATGACATTAAAAACGGCTCAGTATGTAGAAGACTAAAGCGCAAGAAATAGTTTTGTGTGGAATCCAACTTATAGTCCAAAGAGTTATCAATTATAGGTGGGAGAGTTGTCTGAACGGGCAAAAGTTGCTGTTTTGGCACCGGACGACACTGGACGATAAAATGGATTTGCACAAATTTGCTCCGAACAAATATGCTGCAAAAATGTAAATCCCGAGGAGTAAATTATTTAGGGAAAAACTAGCTGGTAAATCACGGGGTCAGTAAATAAGTTGGCAAATGTGACATTTTTCAAGGTTTGTCCCCGATTTACTCCTCAGTTTTCATTCATTTTTAGCGAAATGTTTCGATTGCTAAGAGCACATTTAGGCAGTAGAGATCATCGATAACAGAATGATAAGGGTGATGCATATTTGCGTAATAAAAGAAAGTTAATTGTCATCAAAGAGAGAATCCTCTTGCAAACTTTTAACCCTCGGACGTACAACGGGGGGGGATGCCATCCCCCTTAGGTTTTTCTGAGTTTTTTCCCAGAGGAAAAAACATCAGCACCTGACGTTTTCAGTAGCTGTTTGCTTATACCTCGCGCAGATTTTGAGACAAGTTTAGTGATGGTCAGTTGCTATGGTTACGAGATATGGCGTTATCAATAGCAGGTGGTCAAGCCAATTTTGGGCGAAAATACATATTTTTTCAACTTCTTTCAACAATAAAAGTAAATCTTGTGCCTGAAATCATGCAAAGTCAGTGAAAAGCACAAAAACTTACCATTTCTCGTGGTTTTAAACCTGACTTCTAATTCTTGGTAAAACCCAAGATGGTGACCACTGTTGGAGACGTCACAGGCCTCCAGCAGCGCTACCACCCATAAAATATACCTCATCTTGTTAAGGAGGTCAAAGTCTTTCCACTAAAGGTAAATCGTTTAAAAATACTGAAACATATCAAAAACTATGGGGAAGGGTTCCATCCACCCCCCCCTCCCCCCTTGTACCACGTTGGGAGTATAAATTTGCCTGTACGTCCAAGGGTTAACAGCAAATATTTTCAGAACTTCTTTGTACCATTAAAGAAATTTAATACGTAAAATGTTATTTAGTCTGATCCAAGCTTAATATCAGTTTTCATTTTTTTTCTTTAGAAGAGACTGTTTGTTGATTGAAAATTTCTTCATTAAAAGGTTTGAATGCACTTGAGGTCCATTTTGCAAACCTGCTATCTAATCTCAAAGTTACTGATGATTCTGAGCTCTCCTGCTTCTACACACACTCCTTAAGAAGAAAAAAAAATTAGCAATTAGCTTGTTATCCCACTTATGTTCAAACTAGGATATTCCCCTGTAACTATTCCCTTTTATTTCGTCTCTGTTATTAGACAAAGAATACTTTCTTAAAATTCAGGATTTGTAAGAGGAAATCACTACTGATCACATAGCGCCAAGCTAAGCATCCCTTTGAAAATTTTATTACACTCTGTCCTCAATTTTCGGCACAATCTTTTGTTGATGTAAGTAGAAAAGATGCTCAATAAAAAAAGAATAGAAAATACCAAAAGAGCAACAACAACTACACTAGCTAGGCTGCCTTCTGCTGAGGAGAGTTGATTGCTGAGTGAAAACAAACGAACTGGTGGCCAAAGTGTTATGGAGGTCAATTTTCGATGGTCAATATACTTTCGTAAGCGACTCATGCAATGGCGTAACTATGGTTGATTAAGTCGCGGAAGCCTTGTGGATATAATTCTTTGTCATTTGGCATGTGAACATAATTTAGAGCATTTTATGCGTCACTATTTTCTTCACTAACTCTGTGACGTTTTTATAGATGATTAAAAAGAATAAAAGTGTAAAAGCCAGTAAGTTCTTCAACGAAACAGACGATTCGATAAAGTTAAGTTCAGAGTTGTCCACAATAATTAACAAAATAAGGTTTTGTTGATTTAGTCATCTGTTTCACCACGACAGCAACTGGAAATTGTCTAAAGGAAACAAAAAGGAAAAACAAAAAAATTAGACTCGTCTTTTATCCATACATGTATTTCTTTCGACCGCACTCTTTGAGACTACTCGAGAGACTAATAGTTGCTTGACTACTTTGATTCAAAAATGTTACAGAGAACCGTACCACAATATAATAAACCTTGAGGACAATTGGTTGCTCTGGTTACGAAATATGGTGTTAAAAGTGACGATTACTTAAGGAGAAGGGTCGATGATGAATGAACGTGACTAATGGATAGAGTTGAAGATAAGACTGACAGGGTTGCTAAACGGTTGCTGGAGGAATAAATGATTTCCGTATTTCGTACTCAACACTTTTTCAAGGGATATGGTCATAGTAATGTTTGCAAGGTGATATCAAATTAAAACAGCATTTAAATGAGATTTAAATTAAACTCGCACCTTTCTTTTACTGTTCTTAAGTCGTGGATGTTTTTAAAGTAACATGTAATTCTTCTTTGCACGAAATTACGTTCTGCTAAAAAGTTATAGCATTTCGACAGTGTTAATCTGAAGCAATTTTAATTTTAAATTAAAATTAAGTTCGAATTGTTCCACCATCGGGATTATTTTTACGGTATATTTATTGACCTTAGTTCATCCTTATTATGCTATGTCATTAGCTCATTATTAATACTTTCGTAAGACTGTAGAATGCCTGAGTTTTAATAAACCAGCCCCACCCCTCAAGGAAGGCCAATATATGTGCTATGTCATAACATGACATAGCAGACACTAAGAGAGGATAAGACAGGCCCCCAATTCTCTCTTATAAAACTCGAGGGCTCAGAGGCCCGAATTGAAGCAATGCAAGCGGCCTGGTTTCCTTTAGTCAAGAGCCGGATTTTCGGTGCACCCAGCGTCCAGTAACTGATAAGTCTGATGATCTTACGAGTCATAATCGGTTAAAATGTACAATACAAAAGAAAACATGGAGACAAAAAATCAAGACTAAAGCAAACATTGGGAAACGTGCGCTACCTTAGTAAACAGGCAATTCGTGCAGTGCGGGTGGCTTTGATGTCATTAGGGATGACCTTCTCCTTTATTCCTGAAGTTCAGATTACTAAAAATTATTGTAAAATCGAATGAAAATACACTGGGGCTTCACTGGGAAGTATATAGTGCTAACAACAGGACATATTAGAATTTTCGAAAAGAAAAATGAACCAGAGCGTACTGAGAAAGATTGAATCAAATCACGCAAGCGTCTTTAGCAGGAATTTCAACTGGCCATTTTCTCTTCGAATAACGGCGTGAACTTCAATTCAAATTATGACACTGCTCCCACCCAAGGGTGGTGAAATATATTTAGTCGTTTAGACAGATTTTCTTTTTATCAGAAAAAAATGACCAAAAGCGTATTGTATAAAACAAATCCTGCGTTGAAAGCGCTGGGTAGATGAAGTACGAACAAGGGAATAGGAAGTAGCTAGGTACGTAAGAAAAGCCTTTTTCGGGATGGAACCGCCACTTGTGCGATCTAATCTCGCCATTAGCTCTCAGATTTGGATGTGGACAGTACTTCAAGGATTTTTTGTTAGGTGTCACTTTCAAAAGGGATGAATTCGAAGTTCTCGAATGGTCTAGCATTTTCATGTAAATTGAAACTATTGCAGTTTTGGAGAAACAACTTTCTTTAGTAGCCTCTACTTCTTTGTTGGTCTAAATCAGACATCACAAATATCAAAACCTACTTAAAAGTTTAAAAGCTTTGGAAAGTTTAATTCGTTAAAAGGATTGAACGCTATAATCTTGTCTTAGCTTCCAACACTTACACACAGAGAAACAAAGGAAAAAAATTGACACATGGAATCGTAGTGGCAGTGGTATGGCTATGGAATGGCAGTGATTGAACTTATTTTTACTTCTTCTTGATGATCAAGATTTTCTGTGCACATTTTGAGAAAAGGGAATAAACCGCCAATGACCTTTGCAATATCAGACACAAAAGAAGTTGCGCAACTCTTGACACTCTACTAGCAAAGAAAAATAGTACATCACGGGAACATTGCATTGAAGCGAAAAGTTACAGTGAAACATTTAATATGCAGTTGGAGAAGTTGGCTATAGAAGAAAAGGGGAAGGTAAAGGAATAAGGTAAGTATATGCAAAAATTCCCATTATTTTTTTGGGACAGATACCTAGTACGGTGTATAAGTGAGGGGAAGATGTTTATTCAAAGCCTCAGGATTAAACCACTAAGGGCAAAACAGTGAGAGGGGGAGAAATACTTGGAGGGAAAAGGGGCCTGAGGGAGTTCACGTAAGTTCTACCGTCTTTCTTTCTTTGTCATTTTTCTGTGAAATCAGAATGATTTACTGCAATACTTAGGCCAATTCTCCGACGAGTGTTTCCCCCCTTTACTCGACCTTAACTTCACGACTTTGATAAATTTTGTCCATTTTTGGTAATTTGGTGCTTTACTGTTCCATCATCTGTCCACGCAACAGAAATGATGCCTTCACGTAAAGACAATCTGTATATTATTCGCATGAGAGGAAGCACTTCCTCAGTTAAGCCAAGATGGTGGGAGAGCAACACCTTCCGTTCGTCCTCTACGCGGTATGCACTATTGTGCTTCTTGCTCAAGGAAGTCAAGGTACCATGAAGTATTTGCTTATTGAAATGTTTTAAGAACATGCTTTTGAATGCTGATATTTGATGCTCATTTTCTACGGTAAAATTCATGAAAGATTCATTTCAAGAAAGAACGCGGTAATCGGGGGTGGGGCGCGCAAGGAAAGCGCAAGCTACTGAACTATGTTCAAGGCCATTGCGTAGAAGGCGTTTGGAAATTATTAAAAAAATATTGCAGCCACCGTAAATAGCCCTGAGGCAACGGGAGCTTACTTTTACTAAGACACTTTTCTTCTCTTATAGCAATCAGTTTCAAAGCTGGAAAAACCAACATCACTGTCAAAAGTCCAGGGTTTTTCGCTTGTGAGACAATCACATTCGCTGAATCGTTCTCTGGTGGAAAGCAAGTAAAAGTCTTTGCTTCCTTTGGTCACTCAGTTAACAACCAGGCCCGTGGTAATGGTGCTGCTATTTGGGTGGAATCGGCAGATAGAGCTCAATTCCGCACTTGTATCTACGAGTACAGCGACGGCTCAAATTCAACCGCTGAGATAAACTGGATTGCCCTTCAATCTGCTCCCAAAGGAGTACAACTAGGAACCACTTCCCTGGACTCTTGGACTACCAGAACAGAATGTAAAAAGATCGACTTTCCTCAGGTACGTTCCATTTTGCTATGATTACTACAAGCTAGGTTTCCATCGGGGATTAACCTAAAAAAGGCAGAAACTGGTGAGTTATGTAAGGTATAGTTAAAGGATGTAACTCACGACCGCAAATGCGATTCCTCTAAAGGAACTTAACCAGCTGTTCAATCAATAAATTTAGACAGAAAATTGACGTCACTTAAGTTTCAAGTTCAATTACCTGTATACATTTGTACGTGCTATTACGCACGGACTTCGTGATTTAACAGGAAATGACGATAAAAGTCTAAAAGGTGAATCGTTAGTTTGTTTTAATTTCAGAACGATTAATACAATGAAACAGCGTGCTTTGTACTGTGATCTTTTTTTGTTGCGCGGCTCTCCCTCTTTGTTTTCCTGTATTTTGTTTTGCTGTTTTTCTGTTTTGTTTTTTGGAATGCGCAGTATTATAACTAAGACAGATGTCCGTGACTCCTTGACCCACACTAGCCCACTCTTATTATCACCTATTCCCACTCCCCGACCTCAAATCCTCTCACTCTTTCATCCGTTGATTATTACACTCTCAGATATGAGAGTCGAAAAGCAATAAAACATTGGCATTAGCAGTCAGGCTTACGCTTCCCACCGTAAATCTATTTAGAGAATCTTTCATGAAATATAATCATTAAAGACAGTACACAAACTGAAATTAAATTATTTAGGAATGATATTGGAAGATATAACTTGTATTTTTGGCAAAATTTGTTTTGTAATTTAAATAACTTTACACAAAGTAATTATATTTTACGATAGCTGGTACTGTTTGTAAAATATTTTTGTCCTTTTCTCACGCCTTCAATGTGAGTGTCTCCTTCCAAAAGAAGTTTTTTCTGTATGTGGGTGAAAGTCCGTGTAATATTATGAGTCGCGCGTAAATAAATCAGAAAGATTATATTTTTTGTTGTTGTTGCAGCTGCTGCTGTTGTTGTTGTAGAGAGATGAAGCACTGTTTACTAGATTGCTCGATTTAACTTAAGTCACGGTCCCTGATTATAATTTTTGGTGTTTACACCGTGATGAATGAGTTGTAAATTTCCTTTGTCCTTTTTTTTTTTTTTTCCTTTTTTTTCAGGGTCCTTTAACTCATTCATCTTTTTTCTTTTCCTTATTTAAAGCGTTTTGCGACTCCTCCAATCGTACTTGCGACTCCTAGTCACCAGTTTCCTGAGAGACCTCAAGACGCCATGGCAGTGTGGGTGGAGGAGTTGACT